TTGTTCAAGTTTTTAAATAGAGATTTAAAAGAAAGATTTCGTAAAGACTTTTAGTATATTTATTAAATGAGGAAACAGTCAACTTCTGAAACTAATGAAACAATACAAAATAAATGAATAAAAAAAAATTGAATACAAAAATAAATAATAAATAAATAAAATAAAAATAAATAAAATACTAATTTATTGCATGAATTTTTCCAATTGTAAAGAAATTTGTAATTTTTTTAATGTTTAAAAAACTTCTTAAAAATGCATAAAATATTGATAGTAAAGGTATTTTTTTTAAATCAATATAAATCATTAATTTAAAATGTGTGAACATACGAAGGAAATAATATGCATTTTGACTATTACAAAAAATAGTATTTTATGCTTTACACAATAGCTTTTCGAGTACTTGTTGCGATAAAAGTAAATTAAAAATTTTAATTAGTATTCATCATTTAAAAATATTTAATTTCCACTCCGCTCTTTCTACAATAAGTACCTACTAATCTTTAATTCAATATTTAAGAATTTAAAATAGTAATTTAAAAAGAAAACGAGTCATTTGTAAAAAGATTGTTTATTTGGGCATGGTTGGAATCTGAGAAAAAAAATCTTTCATTTCTACCTTTGAACTGTGACCTGCATTCCGTCTTCATTTTCGACCACAATGAATAATAAACTAAAGGCTAACTAACGGAGTCACATTTTCTGAGAGTTATTTCAGTGACTCATTCATCGACGAAATTCAATTTCCGTTTCCTAGATGGCGCTGCAACTGCATGGGTTCTTAATACTCAGAAAGAGCAATCAAAAATTTCTGTTTATCGCTTTTTTGGCGTAATTTTTCAAATTTATTTATTATTGAAATGAAAAACTGCGAAATGGCATTCCTGCCGAAGTGTTAGAAGGAGAAGCCATGAGTTTCAGTTACAATATAATAACCATCTAAAGATTCTCCCTCGTTTAACAATTAAAAGTGATTGTAATTTTATTCCTTCTTTTCAGAACCGATAGTTTATTTTATTTATTGAATGAGTTATCGTTTAGATTATTTATTTTATCTTAAAAAAATTTTTTTTAGAAAAAGAATGATGTTTTTATGAGTGATTATGAGTTCTTCATTCTCAAAAACGCTGCTGCAAGGAAATCTTCAGTAAATATTTTGCCTTGTAATTTTTTCAGAGCGCTAAGAAAAAAAAAATTTCTCTTTGCATTAGAGCTGAAAGTGTAGAAAGACTATGTAATTTTAAATTAAAGAAAATCTCTTTAAAAAAATAGTCTTTTAAAGTACTTTTTCTCAAATCTTTCTTAGTAATTTATTTTCCACGTCTGTCGATTGTTTTTAAGGCAGCGAAGCAATTTAAACCAGAATGGAAGAAAGAACTCTTGAAACAGTGAATGCTGTAACGTAAAATGTCAATCAAGGAAAATAACTCAACGAAAAGTTAAGATTAATAATAAACATTGAAATTAAAAAATTTTGGTTTTTTTATAAATATTTCATGGTAAAAAGATGTTTCTAAAAGATAGTTTTCAAGGAGTATGTAAAAAATTAGGTAATGGTAAGTAGAAAATTAATTTAAAAAAAAAATTAATTTCTCAGAACCTCGATAATTTGTTTCAATGAACAATTGAAAAGGAAAAGCAATAAGAAGTCTTTTCCTTTGCATCTTGGATTTTTGGTTAAATTTTTAATTTTCGTTTCTTTTTTTCTTTTTTTTTTGTACTAGACATACTTTTACAACAGAATTTCATTCTACAGCATTATTCCTTAAAAAAACGGTGTAAAATACTGAGTCTTTTTATTAAATTAGAACAAAAAGCTTTTGATAATGTTTTTTTTTCTTCTCAAATACGTAAGCAAGAAAATGCTGTTGGCAATTTTAAGTAAGAAGTTTAATACTGTGCAGTTGCCTGTTACTGAATCTCTTAAAATTAAATTGCACATTTGTTTATTAATTGATGAAAACCAGTTTATATGATGCTAAAAATTTCTTTTAATGCGAATTTAAACTTAAAAACAAACAAATGCATTATAATTAACAACCCTTCAAAACTTTCTGATTGCAGAATTGTAATGAAATAATCTTGTTAAAAAATTAATTGAGGATCAAAAATATCCCGAGCTATACTTCACAAACTTTGTTTGGGTGACTGCTTTCTTATTATAGATTATTATACTGCCAAATAGAGTAAATACATAACTTAAGTTTATTTGTGAAAATAAAATAACGAGCATTAAAAGCATATTTAGAATTTTCCCCACCCGTCTCCTCTTCCCTTGAAGTTGATTTCGGATGCGAGAAAAAAGGCCTTTTAAGAAGAATTATTATTTTTTTAATGGAATGTTTTGGATAGAATAAAGAATTAGTGACCATTTTTGCACAGCTTACAAGCCATTCTATAATTATTTCAACCTATAAGCCGTTCCCAAACTATTTCGTGCATTTCAGAAACAACTGCTGTAGAATAATTTTTTGACTAGTGTCTTAATATGTCGTATTATATTTCATAACAATAATTGAAAATTTTTCTTTTGATTTTTGCTTAAAAACCGTTTTGAAAACGGTACTTTTTCTTAAATCATTTTCTAAAATGAATGTTTTATTAAGATATTGGTTAAAAAAAAATTGGTCTTTCTATGATTTCAAAATTTTCTCGGTATATCAAGGTACTTTTCAAGGGAAATATATATATATATATATATATATATATATCTGGAAAACAAATTTTGATTTGTTCTCATTGTTGCGATGCATTTACAGAATTATCAGAAATGATTTAATTTGAAAATCTGAAAATTAAATATAAAATAGAGTAAAAAAGAAGCATGTTTATCTTCGAATAACATAATATATAACAAGCAAAATAGACATATGCAAAAAAAACAAAAAAACAGCTAATCATGAGTCTGAAATAGAAATGTTCATTTTATATTCAGATTCCTCTATGACTGTGAAAAGTTATCCTGTTCTCAGTGCATGGGTCATCTTTAAGCAACTTTGATGAACAGGATAATGGGCCAATTTATGCATCACGTTCTAAAAAACAATGGCTAAAATTTAGTTTTTGAAATTGAAGTTGCTTTCAATAATATTAAAGTAACTGTTAGGAAGAAAAAAAAACTACTTAATTTTATGTCATGAGGCCTTTTTTTAAAATATTAAATAAAACAGTAACTTTCCTGTTTATCTTAAATACTTGTTGAATACCCGTTCTTTACACCGGGTGAAAAAAGTAAATAATTAAGAAATCTCTATTAATCAGCATTACGAAATCATGCACATAGCTAAAAGTCGTATATCAATACAATTAATTAAACTAAAACCATTTTTTTTTCCTTTTTGGTGGCTTTATGTTAGAAGACTAAACTAAAACATGTTTTCAGAAATTCATCACATCAAAATAAAGTTTAATTATCTTCGGAGATAAAGATTAATTATTATATTGGCATAATGGTATTGCTCGAGATCAAATCTTGATAGTCGAAATTAACCACAAATTAAGCAATCTTCTCTGATACTTGTCCCTTTCCATGGGACATAAAAAACTACTTCCATAGTACTTATAGTACGCATCTTGGTACCATTATTAATATATTTAGTACTACTTAAGCACCAATTGACATAATACCAGTTGTACTTATTACTAAAATTAATTAAGCATCATTAACATCAATAATAATAATACGTTCTTAAGGTTTTCGTAGATGAATAAGTACCTCTACTCCAGCAATATAGCTTTTCAATATAAAACTTTTTATTTTTTATTTCAATTTGTACTTATTACCAAAACTAATTAATCATAATTCTCGTAAATAATTAGGAACGACACTAATATTTTTGTTATAATTTTTTGATAACTAATATCGGTACTTATTTCGAAGGTTGTAAAAAATCGCCAAATTGACTGTTCATATCACAGTAAAAAAGTACTAACACCCTGATTGCAGCGTCTGTAAAATCCATTTTACCGTAAATTTTAATACCGTAATTTTTACAGTAATATTTATTTAAAGACAGTGATACAAAAATTTTACTGTAAATATTACTGTAAAAGGCGCGCTATATCAGATGTTTTGTTCCGTGAAACTTTACGGAAAAATTGATTTTACGATAAGCATTTATAAAGGTTAATGGTTCTTTTGGAATTTCACTGTTATCTGTAATCTCACATGGATGATTAAGGATGTGAATTAACACCAAAAAATACATAAAAAAAAAGACGAAAGAAATTGCAATGGATAAATTTTTTTACTTAAAAAAGAAACTTCTAAATAAACGAAAGAATTGGATTTCGCGCAAATGACGCTATTGGTACGTACGCTGTTTACCCAGATGCCCTCTTCAATAGTGTATTTTACATTGACGTGTTTATGAATGTAATGTACAATATTCAAATTTAATTGACATTTTCTTAAAACAGCGAATTTTTATTCTCTGTTTCAATTACTTCTTGAATTTTCATCCAATTTAATAATAAATATTTAAACAATATCTGCAGTATATGTATAATTATTATAATTTCCGGGGCATATCGTTTTTTTTTTATATATTTATTTATTTATTTTTTTAAGTATTTGTTGCTTTCTGAATTACTCCTGAACTTCAAAATAAAAGGATGAATGCTAAATACATACATTAAAAATTAATTCCTTTTAATGCTCTGATGTATGTACACATGTATGTAATGCAATAAGAAACTCAAATAACTGAATAATTAAACATTAATTTTCCTAATGTTGTGAAAAAAATACCATCTTCTACTTATTTATTGATTACAAATTGTAATAAAAGCATGAATCTGAATATAATAGAGCGCTAAACAGTAAAATTTTATTTGATTTTTATATTCTATTTAATTATTTAATATTCTATTTAACTATTTATATTCTTTCATAACATTTAACTGATTGACTAAAACCGAAACCACAGAACAGCTGTTTCTCCTCTTTGGCGACAGTTTGGCGCTTTTACTTATTGTCCGAAATAAAGCAACCCTGCATCACAGCGGCCATCGCGAAGTGAACCCGAGTGAGCGATAAATATGGTTAGAGGTGTAAGAGAGTAGTAAATTTGTGAGGGTGTGGTGTTAGTAAATATGCATTTTATGAAAGTAGGATAGATACTATGTGCTCTAGGCAAACTTAGGATATTAATAAAATGGCAGTTACTAGTGGATATGATCGTGGATATATAGGTAAGTTTAGACGATTGATTAGAATTTTTTTTTGTCACCGTATTTCAATGTCTCTCTGCCCGGCTTGGGGAAACCCTAAAGCCGGCAGAGCCTCCTGTATTCACGCCGTGCGTAAATCGCATTCAGAAAAACTGTCAAATAATTAAATGCACTTCATTTGGCGATTAAAATAAATAGATATGTCATTTTTTGTTTTATGTTGCTATCATCATGATTTGGTATTTTGAAACTGTTTTATGCTGAGTTTTAAGTAAGGGAGAATCGTGTCGTTTTGGAATCAATCAATAAATAATTATTATACAATTCGAGATAGCAAATAATACTTTGTAGAGAAATTGAATAAAATATTAGATTACTATTAAAAGGGTTCTATTTTATTATTAAAAATAATAGTTTAACCGGTAAAATATATTTGTTTACTTAAATTATGGAGAGATTTAAGGATAAGTTCCGTCTAATGTTTTCATTATGGAGAATGAAATAATTGTCTAATGTTTTTATTATATGGAGAGTTTAAAATGAAATGTTTGTTTAATGTTTTTGTTGTGAACAGTTTAAAATTAAATAATTGTCTAATGTTTTTATTATATTGAGAGTAGGAAATGAAATATTTGTTTAATGTTTTTACAATGGAAAAATTACTATTAGATGTTTGTTTAATGTTTTTATTTATGAGAGATAAAAATAAAATGTTTGTCTTATGATTTTACTATACTATATAGTGATTAAAATGGAATGTTTCTATTACGAAGATATTTAAATGAAATGTTTGTACTTATATTAAAGAGAGATTAAAATGAAATCTTTGTCATTATAGTTAAAGTATTTTTATATTTAAAATTTTACATTAAAGATGATAATCAATTTTTCTATTAAAGATGATAATCAATTAATTGTATTGATATCAATTTATCCATTTTAATAATTAATTAAATAGGTAAATATGATCTTTTGCTTTAAAGATTTGGAGTTAAATGCATATATTTAATGAAAACTAATTCTTCTAAAAACTATTATAAAATAATAGATTTTAGATAACTGAATTAACATATATAGTAAAGGAAACTTATTAAATTGAAATAATAGTTGAGAGAAATTTAATATTTATTAAAATTAAATATTCATGCTAAAGTGGCTTATGGTTTGAATTTATGTCAGAATTTATCTGGCCAAATTATACTTATTTTACATTACTATATGACTATTAAACATTGCTTGGATTGAAGAAGGTAATGCTTTTGTATGTAAACTAAACAGAAATGTCTTGTTAATGTACTAAATCACACCAAAAATTTAAATTATTTGTATATAGAATGTAATTTAAAGAGACATATTAATTTTCCTTGCTCATTGGTGTGCCTTATATGACTTTGTATACTTTGAAATTTATTCTGGCCTATTGTGCTTAACATTGATAATTTAATGTAAATCTATTTAATAACCTTTTTATGGAGTTAAATTATTGACGACTGTGATTAGTGATTAACTGTGACGTGGAATTTAAAAAAAATTATTTTAATTCTTTTTGTTTAAATTGCATATATCTATTTATGCTGAAATCATATAATTTAGATACAGAAACATAAAATCAAATTACTTTTCATTCATTTTATGGTTATCAAAAGAACTTTTCCTAATATGGGGAGAAATTTTGGTTTTGGTTTAAAGAAAACATTGCATCATAACTATTGTAAGTTTATTAGTTTGTGCTAATTAAGGAGAATTCATTATGAGCAGATGAATTTGATGATTCTGCTGTATAAAAATAATTTGATTTATTGTGTTTGGAGGCAATTTATTTAATTATACATATATTAACATTATAGATTAGTTAATGATATATTAACATCGAGGATAAAATTTATATCACTAAATGTTGGTCAGAAACAATAAAGTTTGTTATCCAATGACAATTGGAAAATCAATTCAATTTGAGGAAACAGTTTTCTTTCTTTAAAATAAAAGCTGGGGTATGTATATAAGTTACATGATTTTGTGTTTCAAACTTCAATTCTTTGTGTTCACGATGACATATTTTAATTTTGAAAATATTTTCAGTTTAAATATTTTTATTAGGAACCACACCACGAGTAATATTAAGGGGTATTCAAATATTGTATAAACCGAATTAATTTGCATTTAGCTTATTTTTGTTATTTGTTTTCTTCTAAAGAAACAATGCTTACATGGGACAATAATTTCTTTAATTTAAACTAAAGTTTCTTATACATTCCATAACTACTTATATCTTAATTTTTTTAAAAAGAGAAGTTAATATAAATATTAAAGGAAGCAATAGCATATTTATGCTGATTAAGATCTCTCCTATGAACTTACAAATAAAATATTGAATTTTTAATAAAATATTTTTTATGATAATGTGATAAACATGGAGTGATTTTTTAAAAAAAATCATCATTAATATTTCTGTATTTTTAATCCTTGACGATTTTTATTTGTGTTACAGGCATCATACAATGTGCATAATAAATAAACTTCCTGGTTGAAACAGATTAAAACGGTTAAAAGATTTAAACAGCATAAGTAGTGAAAGGTGTCATTCAACCAAACAATCTTTTAACAATTTTATGTCCTTTTCCACGCGAGTTCAAAATTCTTGTTAATGTCTCGTTCATTATCATATAATATGCGAAATACTGGATCATCCGATGACTTGAAACACACCTGTCCCATTAACAAACCAGTTCTAAATTTAAGTTGTAGTTAATGTATTGATAGAACTAAGATTAATTACTACCATTTATATTCTTCTTAGTGCACGCTCTAAAAGATCGTTTATGCAGTCACGTGGTTGATTTATTAATTTGTAACATTCTAAGGGATGGATCCTACTTTTTGTTCTTGTTGATAAACTAAGTCGGGATTGCTTTTTGTCGCCTTGAAAAATTCCACTACGATGAGGATTTTCCACTGCTCTATTGTTGCTCTATATTTTTTCGTAGATTTTCGTAATATTTGTTGGTTAAAGTATGCTTTTTTTCCTAGATGGTCGTACCTTTGCACAAGAATTGATATATGTTATGTCATTAAGCATTTGTTTTCAAACACCTTTTATAAATTTACGTCCCAAGTTTTACAATCCCTTCCGTCAGCTATATTTGAATCTGGATAATTATTGTTATCGATATTTACCACGACATTATCGAGTTCGATAAATATTGATGTCGTTAAGGATCAAGATATTATCGTTGTTGACTATCATTTCGACACGTTAATGCTGTTGATAATTATCTTATACTCTATATTTATTGAAGACTTATATACACTGCATATTGAGAATCCATTTTAAAATATTCACATTAAAATTTATTGTGCCAATATATGTGCCCATATTGTGCCAATTTTGAGCCCAACTGGGGCTAGGGTAAAATTGTTGCTTGAGTATATATATTATCGATATGGGAAAATATTGATATCACGATATATTGATAGGCATAGATCAAGCCAAGCTAGGATAATCGCATAGTAATAACTAAGGCCCGGATTTTGATGACATTTGCATTTTTTTGCATTTTTTGCATTTTTGGAGATTTTTTTGTCCTTTAGAGCATTTTTTGAGATTTATAGGGCATTTTCTTTAAATTTTGGGGCGTATTTTGCATTTTAAAGCATTTTTAAATTTTTTGTTAATTTTTTTCTAGTTTTTATTATTTTTTATTATTACACTGGCTTTCAAACAATGAAGAAAATCTCCAGGATATTAAAAGGTGAAGCAACATCTTTTCAAATTGAAGAAGAATTGTCAGTAAGTGTGACCGNCATATTGAGAATCCATTTTAAAATATTCACATTAAAATTTATTGTGCCAATATATGTGCCCATATTGTGCCAATTTTGAGCCCAACTGGGGCTAGGGTAAAATAGTTGCTTGGGTATATATGTATATATATATATTATCGATATGGGAAAATATTGATATCACGATATATTGATAGGCATAGGCATCCTAGGCATAGATCAAGCCAAGCTAGGATAATCGCATAGTAATAACTTATAAGCTTCTTCACTACTTGTTCCCCTTAAGAAAACTTCTATGCTATGGCACCATCTAAACCGTGAGAAATGTTATGTAAACTAAAAATTCTCAGCCAATCAAAGGATTTATTCGTAAATACTGGAACAAAAGTACGCCGTTGTGGTTGAAAAGTTCTTTACCCCAAATATACCCTTCTTCTGACATTTATCTATATTTGATGGTTTGTGTAAACTGAAGCTCGTCTTTAAAAGGAAGCAATGTTTGTTTTACGTTGATAAGCACAATCGTGACTATTCTTGACGAATTCTAACCGGACATCTGGTTCGAATTTATGAGGTTATCACACTAGGGAAGGATATGATGATACATTTACGCCAGCAGACCGGACAGAAGATTCAACCCTTCTGTCTGGATTACTTCTTTTGTCGATAACCTCATTAATGAAGATGGACACTTGTCTTTTTTGAGATTGTCCACTTCGTCATTTTTGGCAAACAGCAAACACCGCTGATGTTCCTTAATCAGATAGATATGGAGTTAGCTTATACGAGTGAGTAGAATACAGACATTTTTCAATTACGCTATAATTACAACGTATATAAAACGCAGATAACTTGTTTTTTTATTTTATACGAAGTCTGCTTTATAAGAAGTTACTTAAGATTTGTTAGGCTTGATTGCATTGATAATGCACAAGACATTGTTTAAACTGTTACATATTTGTGATTTTTATTTTCGTATTTTTAGGTTTTTGTGAAATTAACTTTTTTTTACAAAGCACTTGCACAGTAAAGCTATTTACATCAATGAAATTAAAAGCTAACTAATAGGAGTGAAGTTTAACGATTCATCATATAAAAATTCAAAGGTTTCTTCTAATTTTTTACAATTTTTTATGTAATTATTTAAATTGAATAAATTAAAATTTATTTTAATTTTTAATATTATATTTATCGTACTTTTTATTACTATAAGTATTTACATCTTTAATCTAGGTAGTTAC